ACAAGGGTTTGGGTTTGTATTTGTTTGTGTTGAGAATACTTCATAGGACTAGAGGAGATTGAGAGTGTCTTATAAGTATTAATTGTTGAGTGAAGTTGATGATTTGATGTATATTTGTAATTCTCTACAACTAGTGAATCTTGTTTCTCATTCGTGGACGTAGGTTGATTGAACTGAACCATGTTAAATTATTGTCTCTTGTGTGTTTGATTTATTGTTTGATTTCGCTTTCGCTGGTATGATTGGATTGAAGCCTTTTAGCTCAACAAATGGTATTAGAGCTGTGGTGTTCCCCAATATAAAACTATAAAATATAAATAAATTTTGATAAAAATAATTTCTAAAAAAATATTAAATAAATTTGTTATTTTTTCTAGTCAATATAAATTTATAACATAAGAATTTTTTAGAATAAGTGATTAAAAAATTGGTTTTTTTAAATTTTTAGTAACCAGTTTCTTGAGTAATTTTAACTATATTTTTTATGAGGATAAATTAATTAATCATAAAATAATATTGAAAATTACTTCACGATGATAAAATTTTCACATTCTTTAAGTTGAGAATCAAATCACTCTCCTAAGATAATGATCTTATCATCTTAGTGATTTAAGATTACTATCACATAAAATTTTTAAATTGTTGCCAAACAAGGTGATGTGATCACTCTCTTACTGATATTCGGCTATTAGTGTATTTGCTGCAAGATTGTCAATATTACTTGTATTAACTCCCAACTATCAAGTGATCATGTATAGTATTTAAGCTATGTTTCGTTATTGTTTTTTTTTTTTTTTTTTTGCTTTTTGGAATATGTTTGGTTGGTGTTTTTATTTTTTTATTTTATTAAAAATAAATAATAAAAGGTAAAAAGAAAAATGAAAAAAATACAAATCAATAAGGAATATAAGCATATAAAAGATTTCCTTTTGCAAATAAATAAAGTTTTTATTGATTCAAACCAATTCATCTTGACTGGTGGTACGTTTATCACATTCTAACAAAGAATTATTTTGCTAGAGGATGGGAAAAAAATTGAATTGAATTTAATTGATTCATATAATTATTCTTAAAAAATTATATTTAATAAGTTTGAATTTAAATTTTAACTCTTTTTTCATATATCCAAACTTATTATAAAATATGTTTTTTGTAACTCAATTATTAATTTTTTTTAATTGTCTGTATAACTAGCTGTTGGTCGTAAAATATTTGTGAATATCCAAGCTATTATTTTTGCAAGCCGTCGATTAAATGAGCATCAACCGCCAACTGTACACCATACATGCTCATGCAGGCCTTCCATTGAATATCTAAGCTATTATTGTTGCAAGCCGTCGATTAAATGAGCATCAACCGCCAACTGTACATCATACATGCTCATGCAGGCCTTCCATTGATTTACGCCCTATTTAAACCCTTCCAAGATAGAGGGAGTCAACGACTCTGGTTAATTTTATGGGTTGCTCCTGTGAATTTAAGCAATAGCTAGCCCTCTTTTCAGTTTTCAGCTATATGAGCATTCTCTTCGCCACCATGCTATCTAGGCACCTGCATTCAACTCTTTTGGAAATTATTGGATTTCCTACTTTTATTCTTGTAGCATTAATATCGTTCGAAGCTTTGTTTATCCTTCAAAAATGGAATCCCTTTTTCCACTTCCTCTTACCATCTTGCTTTCTCCTTTTCACCCTGAAAACCTACCTCTTGAACTCAAAGCCTCCTCCCGTCTATCTTGTAGACTTCTCATGTTACAAACCACCAAGCTTCTGTAAAGCCCCTTTCTCTTCCTTCATACAACACGCTTCCATGATCGAATCTTTCGACTGTGAGAGTGTAGAATTCATGGCCAAAATCTTAACCTCTTCGGGAATATGCCAAGAGACCTATCTTCCTCCAGCCTTACACAGCATTCCTCCAAAAACCCATCAACAAGAATCCATTAAAGAAGCCGAAATGGTGCTCTTCCCTGTAATGGATAATCTTTTATCCAAAAGTAAACTATCTTCTCATGACATCGATATACTGATTGTCAACTGTAGTGGTTTTTGTCCCTCACCTTCGCTCTCCTCCATTATCATTAACAAATACTCAATGAGAAGTGATATTAAGAGCTATAACCTCTCTGGTATGGGGTGCAGTGCAGGAGCCATTGGGATTGATTTGGCAAAAAATCTTCTCAAAACTCACAAGAACTCTAATGCCATAGTTCTTAGCACAGAAATCCTATCTAGCGGTTGGTATTCAGGTCACGAGAAGCCTAAGTTATTCCTCAGCTGCGTTTTCCGGATGGGCTGCGCAGGAATACTGCTCACAAACAAAATAGAAGCAAGAAACACAGCAAAATATAAGCTTTTACACAGTCTAAGAACCCAAAGAGCCTTTGACGACAGGGCTTACTTCTTGGCATTCCGTGAAGAAGACTCTTGTGGAAAACTTGGGGTTACGTTCAAAAAAGATTTACTACAAGCTGTAGGAGAAACTCTCAGGTCACACATAACAATCCTTGGTTCCCAGATCTTGCCTTTTTCGGCGAATTATGGCATGTTGTTTCGATCATTCAAAAAAAATTCATTGATAAATCAGGGGAAATTTACATGCCAAGTTTCAAGAGTGTGATACAACATTTCTGTTTGCCAACTTCAGGAAGGCCACTGATAAGAGAGGTAGCCAAAGGGTTAAAGGTTAATACAAGAGACGTTGAACCTGCTTTGATGACACTGCATAGGTTCGGGAACCAGTCATCTTCTTCATGGTGGTATGAACTAGCTTACATGGAGGGCAAGGAGAGAGTGAAGAGAGGTGATAAGATTTGGCTTCTTGGGTTGGGTACCGGGCTCAAGTGCTGTAGCTTGGTTTGGGAGTGTCTAAGGCCTATAGTTGAGGAGTCCAAAAGAAGCCCATGGAGCGATTGTATACACCTGTATCCTGTTGAGGCCATTGATCAAGGTGTCCAACCTGATGCTCTCTATTAGTCCAATTCTTATCATTCATGGTCAAGAATCAAGATTATGTTTACTTTCCATGATTCATTCATTGATACAGTATAATTTATGCGCATGGCGCATGTCACAACTTTTACAGTTATTTAATGGTAATTAATGATTCAAATTAAGGAGAAATGAGAAATAAAATGGCTAAATTTTTTTAAAAAACTCTTGAATTATTTTATTTTTTTAAAATAAATTCTTATATTTTTATTGTATTTAAATAAGTGATTTTTTTATTTGCATCTAAATAAATTTTTACTTAAAAAAATTGATTTATATGAAATATTTATTTAGATATAAATTAAAAGTTAAGATTTTATTTATATATAAATTAAAATAAAAATTTATTTAAATATAAATAACTTATTTGTATGCAAAATAAGTATATAAAATTAATCTAAATAAAATTAAAATGTTCAGAAGCTTTTTTTTTTTTTTTTTAGGTTAATAAAATTGTGTTATGACCCATGGACACGGTTTTGTAGAAGTTACCACAAAACCTTGACATGACTTAACCACAATGACAAAATTCAAATTAAAATCAAATTTATTAATAAAAAATTAAATTAATTATGCTGAATTTTGAAAAAAAAATATAAATTGATATTTTAAAAAATAAAAAATATATTTGTACCTTAAATTTTTAAATAATATATAATTTATACTATAAATATTATATTTTGTCTCATATTAATCAAAACTTTAATTTCACTAACTATATTAATTTATATATATAACATTTAATAAATATTATTAAATTATGTATTCATTGCATATATTATTAATATCTTTTTTAATATAAATTAAAAATATATATATTACTTGAACTGTAAAAATATATTAATTATTTTTTGTAAGGTGACAACCACATAAAAGACTTTATGTTTTTATTTAATAAATAATATTCATATAATAAAATTATATTTATTAGATATTATATAGACAAATAAAGTTAATAATGTTAGAATTTAGATTAAAATGATATTTTATTTAAAAGTTTATAATAGAAATTATATATTTTATTTTTTATATGAATTTATATTTATTCTTAAAATTCGTATAAAAAAATAATTAATTCCATTTAAAACAAAATTTATGTATTTATTATAAGTTAAAATTTTATATTTGTAGTTAAACTATTTTAAAATTTTATGATAACTCTCACATCAAAAGTCAAACAAAATTATCCTTTTAAATCTGTTCCGACGGAAAATGACAAAAAAACAAAAATAGTTGACTCTTAAGTTTCGGACAGGCTGTGTAACTAAAAAAAAATGATGATAGGACTTTTGGTTGCACAATCATTTTTTTTTTTTCTATTCCTGACAGTAAAATTGGTAATCTCAATCCTCTTAAAGATTGGCAATCTCATCCTGTTCAAGCGTCATATGACAGTAAAATGAGCATTATAAAAGGCCGAACAGTTTCAAATACTACAAGAAGAAAAATAAGTGCCCTTGATGATCAACCGAGGATCCCCAGTAGCCAAGGGCTGGGCTCTTACTATTCTTGCGTTTCAATTTCCAACCAACACAAGTGTTCACTTATTTAAACTTCACCACATGTATCTGGATGGGAATCAACTTTACAAAAGGGCTAAAATAGGACCTTAACTTTATACTTACAACCCATAGGAAAATACAAGCACAAATGGTTGTTGTTCTTACAGAAATTAAAAAACAAAAAATGAAAGATTCATGATGCGTAAGCCGGATTAACATAATAGCATCATTTGAGGGAATGTTAGACCAAGCACTAGGGTTCCTGATAAAATATGCTCTGATTTGAATAATCACCTTGGGATGGTGAACAATTTGAAATAGTACTAAAAAAGCAGGTGGTTAAATGCAAGCAAGCGCAATTTCAATTATCAAAATATTCTACCAAACACTTTTATCAAAGGGGATGACCCCCTGTTCTCATGGTTAGAACTTGACAGCATGAAAGTTTTTGCACAACCCACAAAGCTGAATGTTGACCAAGGATTCTTGATCAACCATTTAACGAAGATGAATATGCCAACTTTTTGAACCAGCCAACCTAAATTTGGAAGGGACGAGTACCCTTCCTTCACCATCCTCTAATTCAAGCGTCAGTTTTTTTCTTGCTGAATAGAACTGAAACTAATGCCAACGCTTGTATTGATTGCCTAAAATAAATCCCATTCATTTTACTGTTACATTGCAAGCATGTTGGCAATTTTTATGCAATTTGCAGTTTTTTTTCTTTAATCTCCAACGGTCAAAGCAGGCATTGCTCGATATAAGTCTGAACCATGAATGATAAAGGTTAGATCCCCTTCATATTTCCAACCAATCATCTTCAATGCAGCTGTTAGAACTGTTCACACATGAACTTCAGTGGTGTTCATTCCATGTGTGAGTGGTCAGCTTCAGCCAGGCCTTAATAGTGCATTGAGGATTGTTAATAGGACAAGTACTGGAGGTTAGCTAGCTGAACGCAACTCAAACACGGTACGGTGAAAAGGTCCGTAACTTACAAGTGGTGGAGCAGCAAGAAACTTAAAAGCCAAAAAGTTGAAAAGATAAAAAAGCAGAGAGCAACTTGTTTAGATCAAAGAAAACGGATGAAATTGTCACATGATGGTCCCATCAGTAAAAATACAAGTTATCATTATAAACAAAACCAGATACTAATGGCATGTGAGAAACTTTAGAGAGAAAATTTGAGGGATCAGTGTCTTGATTTGCATCTTCACAATTTTGATACAGAAAGGCAACAATATTTTGTAATGTATTAATATGAATTTGTAGGCCATAGCAGTAACATCAACAAAAGAGCAAGTGGTAAGGAATTGAAAACCATTGGATTTTAGATGGAAAACAAAATTACTAAGATTTCTTTACCATGAGCATCCACAAAGATGATTAAACAATGATCTACGGCAACCAAGCTACTGTTTGAAGAAAATTTACCGCTGGGCACTAAAAACTCACCGGACCTTCTTACGAGACTTAAATGGGTATCGTGATGGCGGTGATGGGGAAAATTCGGTTGGTAGTTGAGGCGGCTCTGCCTCACCAGTGAGCATGCCCACAACCTCCTTCATGGAAGGCCGGCAAGCAGGTGATTTTTGCAAACAAAGCAACGCAACTGTGATACACAAAAGAGCCTGTTCCCTGTTCGGAGACTGTATACTCTGGTCAACCAAATCAATCAGCTTTCCTGTTCGCCCAAGATGCCGCGCCCAAGAAATCAGATTGGCCCGCTGAAACTCCGACATAGGTGAGCCTGTAACCTGCAGGGGTCGCCTCCCTGCTATCAAAACCAACAGTAGAACCCCAAAACTATAAACATCACACTTCTCTGATAGATCCCCGCCGCCACCGTATTCAGGAGCAACGTAGCAAACGGTTCCTCTCATACTGGGCGTACTGCTAATACCACCACTCTTAGGAATCTCCCCACTGAATGAATCATTACTGTTCCGGCGAGCTCTCCATAATTCACCACTAAGCCCATCCCATAACCAATCCACACTTCCAAAGCTACCTTTACTCCTACTTCTTTTACTCTTCTTCTTCTTGCTCTCTGTATACAATTCGTCATCAACTGGCGACCAATTCTCCCCACCAACAATATCATCACTATCGTACATCCCCAACTGTCTCTTCTTCTTCTTCTTCTTTTTATTCTTTTTCGCAAGCTCTTCGCAGTACTCCTCTTTCCACCACTCCCTTGCCGGTCTCCTCTTCTCCTTCTTTACATTCTTTTCCTTATCTTCCTCCATTGACACCCACCATTCCAATCGTTTTGTACCCTTCTTCTTATTCTTCTCCAATTTGGCATTCGTTTCACTACTCGAAGAAGCCACCGAAGCAATCCAATCACTACTAGGTCTCTCCTTCTTAATCTCAGTCCCAATCCATTCCATCACATAATCCTTCACTTTCCCATTCTCCGTCACCGCCCCGGTATCTTGCTTCCACCACCAATCCCTACCGGAACCATTCCTCATCCCTTTCCCACACTGCTTCCCTCCACTCATCAATTCTTTTCCACTCTCCACACTAGCCCTATCGAAATTCCCCTCCGAAACACTCCCCTTCTCCATCATTTCAGGAGAGATCGCAACTGCCACCCCCACTGTCTCTGGAGAAACTGCAACTGTAACAACCTCCGCATTTTCCGGCGATTCCATAACCGAACCCGGCGATTGATCAACCGCCAAATTGAACTCCTCAGTTCCTGTAGCCACACTCTCAGTTTCTGCAACAGATCCATTATCCTCAACTATTTCAATTTTAATTTCCTCTGATTTCAACCTTGCTAATCCAAAATCCGCAATTTTGGCTGAAAAATACTGATCCAACAAAATGTTACTAGGCTTAATGTCTCCGTGAATTACCGGAGGATCCAATCCGTGGAGATATTCAAGTCCCTTGGCAATATCAACAGCAATCGAAAACCTTTGTTTCCAGTTCATTAATTCTGGACATTTTCGATGAAGCAAGGCGTCTTGTAGATTGCCGTTAGGCATGAGCTCGTAAACCAGGAGCATGCGGCGTCGCTTTCGTTCGTAAGAGAAGCCGAGGACTGAGACGACGAGGGAAGAGTCTAGTTTTGAACCGAAGAAGAGCTCGTTTTGGAACTCGCGTTCTCCTTGGAGGGAACCGGCGTCCATCATCTTGACGGCGACGGTTTGATTGTCGTTTTTGTTGGGGTGGTGGTTGTTAGGGATGGTGGCGCGGTAGACGGAACCAAAGCCGCCTTGACCGAGGAGGCGAGAGGTGGAAAAGGAGGAGGTGGCACGACGGAGGATGGAGTAAGAGAACCGGTGTGGAGGCTTGGAGTCGGCAGGGACTGTACGTTCACGCCGGATTTTGCGAAGGCACAAGGATAGAACTAATAAGATTGAAAAGGCCGCTGTGACGGCTGCAACGGGCGGGAAGATGAGTTGCGTGGGTAAAGGATGCTGGTGGTGGATCAACGGCGGTTGCTGCTGTGGAGGCGGCAGCGGTGGGATCGAGCGTGACATTCTGTAAGCAGAAAAATTTTCTCCCTCTCCTAAGAAAAAAAAAAGAACTGGGAAGATGATTTTAAGTGGATTGAAGGGAATAGAAGTGAGGATGGAACATAATCTGGTTAGGGGATTGGCGCCGAAGATTGGTTGAAAGAGATTGGGTTGTTCTCAACTGGCTTTTGTGATGCTTTTGTTTCGGTTGTTGAAACTGGCGAGGCCTTTTTTGAGGGGTTGCCTGTATTAATTGACAATGACGAAAAGATATATCATTACACCTAAAAAAATAAATATCACCCTCTCTTCTCACTTGTAAACATATGTCATTTCCTCTGCCCCACTTCAGCTCTTTTAATTCCCTCACCACCCCACCACCCCCCCAAAAAAAATAAAATAAAATAAAAAACCAAACAAGCAAATAAAATTACTGTTGATCACTTTGAGCTTACAAACCAGGAATATCATAATTTTTTTAATTTCCTAATTTATCCTTTATGAGATTCAAGAACATGTTAGGTGCATGAATTCGTTATAATCTGTAAGTATTAATAAAAATCTCATGCCAAATAATTCAAAGATTATCTTCATTTCAAAGGAAGAATTATAAGGCGACCTTGTAAAGGAGATTATCAAATCTATTGAACTAAAATAGGGTTTAAAAGAAAATGTTATTCCCTCCAAAATCATCCAATCCAAGTCAAAATTACCAAGTTATATTGAAAGTTAGAACTTTGGAATCCTTCATGCTTTTGCCATTGTTTAACTTTGATATCAAAATTGAAATCCTAACTTCTTTTTACCATATATATATAAATATATAAACTTCATGCTTAAAGTTTGGCGTTTGTGTTTTTGTGAATTAAAGCACAAGAATATGCTTTTTAAGAGAAGCTGAGGAATCATTCATAATTTTTCCATTTCTGAAAAGGGGTTGTGACTGATTCAAAGAAGGAAAAAACTTAATCACTTGGAATATGAAAGGCAAGGGTGAAGGTTGACTAATTACCAGCAATCAAAATGGAAGAAGAAAACCAGCTTAGAGTCATCCACTTATTATATAAACAAAGTGGGGTAGGTATTAATTTCTTGTTTTCTTCTGCTCAAACTTTGAAAACCTTGGGCCTCTTCCACGCTTTGTGCCTCATACTCACCTTTCACATTTTTGTGATTCTTCTACCATTTGCTTTGACCTTTTCCTTTTATAGTTTTTACTTTTAATTTGATGAGTAAATAGTTAATATCACCACTACATTTTAATTTGAAGAAAAAAAAAAGTCTTTTTTCATTCTAAAATTAACAGTTAATATAATATTTTAGCAAGAAGACTAAGGATTTGTTGTTTTTGTTTTTATTTTTCTTTAAAATCCAAAGTGGGTTGCCAAATGACTTTTTCTGTGTTTGCCCACATTATCATTCCGATTCTAAAATATTTTACTCAAAATTTTGGGTCATTATCAACTCAGTTAACTTGTGTATATCTGGTCAAGTCGTTCCTTTTTTTTTTTTTTAATTCATCATAAGAGATCATGATTAGTTTTGTTTTAAATTAAAAATTTGAGATTAAATTTCAATAATTTTCATTATTATTAGCCAAATGACATGGTTGATTTATCAGATTTTCCTTTTTTAAAAAAATAAATTTATCAAGGCATTGATAGAATTATGTTTACAAAAAACAGTTTTTAATCGTTAAATTAAAAAAATTTTAAAAAACATATAAAATTAAAATCCAAACCCTACCACCATCGTCTCTTAATCAAATGTCATACATGGTAGTCTCTTTAATATTCGAATTTAAATCATCCTCTACTTTTTCTTTTATTTTACAAAGCGGGGTTCCCTCCCCAACCCCCAACCCCCAACTCCCATCCCTCTTTATTTATTTTTTTCCCCTCTTTATCTGTGGATCAAAACCAGAAACGTGGTCATGGCCTCATGGGCCTGCAAGGACGGTTTGGTAATTTAGAAGGGTAGCTTGACTAATTGCTTTGCCCTTTTGGCAGTCAAATTTGCTCTTTTTTTTTTTTTTTTTTTTTTCCAAATAGAAAATTGTGAAAAAAGCGGAAAGAAGCAACGAGATACAATATCGATACTTTGGACATAAAACAAAAACATTTCTCCTTATTAAATATTTTTAATTGAAAAAACAAAGTTGAATTCCATTGTTGAAGAGAAAAAAAATGTGTATATATATTTTTAAAGAGACACATCCATAAACTATTATTATTGAATATTATAAATATAATATTATACTATAATCTAATTAATTATTATTAATACTTAAAATTCAAAGACAAGTGATTGAAGGCAAACATACATACCATATAGATAAAAATCAGTCTATTCTCAGCTTTTTGATCTAATTGTTATTGAATTCTTAAAAAAATATATAGGTCTTATTTTGAATCAAGATTTTCTCTCTCTCTCTGTCTCTTTTTTTTTTTTATGGGTTGTACCCATTTTATGTTAAAAAATAAAAAAATTAATCTACACAATCATCACAAAACACTTGACTTAAAATAGTTTTATTTCCCATTTTTTAACGTCATAATATTATTAATTTCTTTGGATTGAAAAAAAAAAAATCAAACAATCCAATCCTACTACAACGAAAGTATTTTTTGAATTTAATTAATTTAAGAGATGATATCTAATAAATTTAAAATTTAATAATTATAATTTTTTATTTTAAAATTATGATTTCTTTTATAAAAAATACTCTTTCAAATTTAATTAATCTAATTTTATTTATTTATTTATTTATTTTTAGTTTTGTACTTAATTCTTTGGTTTTTTTGGTACGAGGCACTCTTCTTTTGTCCCTAAACGAGCAGGGATATTTACTTACCCTGTGTGATTCTTTTAATTTATTAATTATATTATGCTAACTCCTTTTTCTTTTATGTAATTAGATTAGATGAAAAAAATACTTTAATCCGGTTGTATTAAGGGTATATAATAGGATTATGAATATGATAAAATAAGATTATAATTATCTTATCTTATATTTAGTGTACACATAAAAAATAAAATTAAATTACAAAGAAATTAAACCATCCTTAGTATGACTAATAATAAAAAAAAATTATTTCTAATTTTATGAAATTAAATAATAAATGCTTAAACATGACTTAAAGGTATTAAATTATTTGAAATTCGAAATAGGTTGGGTGACAAAAAGAATGTAATATAATATGCAAATTTTAAGAATAAAATTGGTCAACAGTTGTGCAATCTGCCAAAGTTTTGGTTCTAATGACTATATAAATTTTAACATCCTCAAATACAAAAATAAAAATAAAATTTGTATGTATCGTATTTTTTTTTTTAATAGTTCGTTACTTAAAAGCAACTTTGTCTTGTTTAATAATTACACTTTTGACATCAAGACAATTCTTTACCCATCTCTTGACTCAGCCATTTTTTTTAGCAAATGGGACGCCCTATTTGCCTCATGAACTACATGTTTATATCAATGATCGAACTACATGTTTATATCAATGATCGTGCATGAGTCTTAGATCAAGAAAGTCATGTGACGGGAATTACTTGAGATGGTACGAGCAATGGACTATGAAAAATTGGAATCGAGGTCTTAAAGGTACATATTTTACTTAAATGTACAGGTTAAGGCCAAGGTCAAAATGTAAGAGTACACTTAAAATGAGTTGCATGGCATTAGGTATGATGATTGCTCGTTGAAAGGTTATAGAATATCTCAAGATGTGGTGTGGGCAGTTAGGCATAAAGGCCAAAAACAACCTTGAGACAAGCCAGGCACGCAGGCATGAAAGAGTTTAAAGAAGCCTGAAGTAGGTAAGGTGTGCCGACATTGAAGAGTTTGGCGATGCCTGAAGGTAGGCCAAGTGCATGGGCACCACAGGTTCGAGAAGGAACAGGTACGGGTACAGTAATGGGCACTGTAACACCCAAACGAGGAAGATTTTAAAAGGCCCTAGTTGTGGGCAAAGTGGCATTCTGATAAAGAAGGCTCTGGAACCTTCTAGGTGCGGCAACTCAGCGAGAGTGCGCAAGCTATTGCAAACCCGAGGCTTAGCAAGGAGCCTAAAACCAGAAAAAATCTAGAGACGCCTTAATCGACCCTGTTGGAGCTTGAAGACCCTAAAATTATCTAGAAGGTCTATAATAGCCATACATTTGGATTCATCATAGCCACAAGTATTATGGAGGCTGAAGTATAAATAGAAGAGCCTATTATTCATTTGTAAGTAAGAAACAAGAAGTTACACAAGCAACAATAGAGAGAATATACAAGTTACAAGCTATACAAATAGGTACAAACAATTCCTAGACTTAACGATACAAAAAGACTTGGGGATAAGGGATAGGCATAAGAGAGTCATTGTAAGGGCATTGAATAATTGTATATAGCCTCAAGTAAATAAAAGTACAATTACTTTAATTTTCCCTCTTAGTTTTCTTTTAAGCTTCTAAAAAGCTAATAGAGTGCATAGCATAAGTGCTTTGCACAGAGTTGAGAAAAAGGCAAACTTAGGCATACGAATGGTAGTTTGCAGCGTAAGGTTGTACTGGTGTTAAGCTTAAGCTTCCAGCCTGTGACAATTGGTATAAGAGTAGGTCTCGACCATGGTGGGATCAAAGTCAGTTCTAACCAAAGCTGGTATCAAAATAGGTTTCGAACCTTGGCTACTATTGGTGTTGGTGTCAGTTCAAGTGCATGGGTAGCTTAGTGTGCTAGTGTACCAATTATGCTATTAATTTGTAGTAGGGAATATTGTTTAGGCGATTACTTGTTGTCGATGCCTAGAGTAGGGCATAAGGTTGTTTAAGTGCTTTTTAGGAAGTTATGGGAAATCTTTAGTTCGAGCATTGTAATTGTGGTATGCATGCAAAAGCATGGCCAATGACCCTCAGGTGAAATGCATAAGTGATGTACAAAAGGACTATCCACCCATAAATAAGGGAAGAAGAACTAGTTTGAAGGACCTGTTGTCGTCTATGGACTCTCGGTTGGTAAAGTACAAGTTAACCATAGGAGATTTAAGGGATCGGTTTGGGGACACTAAGGATCACATCTAAGAGCTAGATTCAGCATAGAAAAAACTCAAAGAAGAGATACATGGTGTCTTGACTCGAAAGATAGAAGTGCTCACGCAATATAATGAGGCTCTAAAGGTTTAGGTGGTGGCTTTATGGGAAAAGCTAGAGCAACTTAGGTGGGAGTTTGCTATGTTTTGAGTTGCTATGATGAACGTGGGTTTAGG